GATTCTAGAGGATCCCAGAATTATCGGACTTCTTGTTATTAGCATTAGACTATAAATAACACATGTAATTAGTACACTAAGGACACATTGATCTTATTCACGATACTTGTACTTACATTTACACATTCATCTATGTATTCAACATTTTATATCAATAAAATCATCAAGGCAGGTGATCATTATCACCTCCCAAGGTTTTATCTCGGAGATCCTATCAAGGATCAAGGGCTTTCTTTATAACTCACTTGTGTCACTTTCATTACCATTAAGAACTTGATTTATCACGAACATCACAACCTTTCATACAATTTGGTTAGATTCTACTTAATTGATTTTTGACCAAAACAATTTGGCACCCAACGTGGGGCCATGGTGTTCAAAACCTTTTGGAAAATCATGTTTACACAACCGACCATATCTTCCTCCTCCATTCCTACCATTTCCTCCAAAACCTTTCACCCCCACGAGGCGCTCCCAAGGAAGTCGTGGAAGAACCAAAGAAGAACACTTCTCCGGTCTCTACCCAAGGACTTCATGATCCTCTTATGTTGATTTCCAATAATGAAATCTTCGCCATGATGAAGACACCGGAACGACAAGTTACTCAACAACAGGAGGATATTAGGACAATACTTAAGGAAGTGGAGAGAATGAGGGTAGAAATCAACAAGCTGCAAGAAGCAGCACCCTCGATATTGTATCCTAAGATACTGAACTTTGATAGCACGGGATCAGCAAATCATCGTAAGATAGGATCCTTAATACCGCCCTCTATTCCTGCTTGGGGTGCAACCCCAAGAAAGCATGCCCATATGACCCAGGATCCCGATGAAACATTCATTACTCCCAATAACAAGGATCTTAGTAACTTCGTCAATAATAATATATTTATTACTAACTCTATGTACCTTGATACAGGTTTAAGCCTAATCATGTCTAAGGAAATTCAGCAATTAAGACAAATGATCTAGAGTGTGCCTGGAGTAATTTAACCTATACCAAAAGTATCCCTCACAAGCTACATGATCTCAAGATTCGCTCCTACGATCGCTGACACCGAGGTCCCAAAGCGCTTCTAGCCTATCATAAAGCCTTAAGATGGGACCACGGATCCCGAGGAGCATGTCACTCAATACAGGGAAAGAATAGAGATCGTCCTCATTCCTACACACTTAAAGGAAGCTTGCATGTGCAAGGGTTTCGGTTCGAACCTCACAGGACCAACCTTAAAATGGATCCTTAACGTTCCTCCTTATTTTATTACTTCATTTGCTCACTTAGTTAATTTGTTTAACAATCAATTTTCTTATAGCAGAACATTCAAGAAAGCCACTAGTGATCTTTATCGACTGGTTCAGGATCCTAAGGAATCCCTTAGGACTTTTGTGAATAGGTTCGGCAGGGAAGCTCTAAGTATCCCCAACATTGATATGGCGATGGTAGTTGAAGCCTTCAAAATGGACTTAAAAAGGACTCTCCTTTCTATGAAGGCCTTGTAATGACCCCATGCAAGATAATGGATGAGGTCCGAAGTAGAGCATTAAGATTTATAAGGCTCAAAGACGACAAGGAGATCCAAAAAAAAGGAGCAACCCACCAAGATCATGGCTGACTCATCGGCACAAAGATCCTACAAGTCAAAACCATATTTCAAACCTGATCATCACATGGTTAATGCCCTTGAAGATGAAGGAGAGGAAGAAGAATTTCCTAAGATTACTGACTATTGCTTTTCTATGGATATTTCATGTTTGCTATTTGCTATGTAGGATCTTGGCGACAAAACAAGATGGCCAAGGAAAGAGAAAAATCCACCAATTAGAAAGACAAATCCAAATGGTGTGTGTATCATGAAGACTTTGGTCATATCACGGAATATTGCATAGCTCTCAGGAAGGAGATCAGCTACCTCTTAAGCAAAGGATATCTCAAAGAAATCCTTGGAAGAATGAAGGAAAAATCCAATGAGAAAGATCAAGATCCTCATAACATTCTTGATAAGCCAGGATCCCCTCGTTTTGATGCCAAGGTAATCAATGTGATCTCCAGAAGATCTGAAATTTGTGGTACCTCTTATCCTGCAGCAAAAAGGCATGTCAATGTGTCAAAAATAGAAAAAGAAGAAAGATCGCGGAAGAACACGTCAATCACAAACGAAAAAGAGATCACCTTCGACAAAGCAGATAGATAAGACATCGAGGATCCTCACCACGATGGATTGGTGATCACTTTTTATTCTGCCCGAGCTTTTTCACTAGTTTACATCAACTCCGAATTAACTTATATTATTATGTTTAAGTTAGTTTTAAAGTCAGTTTCTTGTTTTTAGGTTGATATGCCCCAATCATAGTATTAAAATTTTAAATATTAATGAAATTTTTTTTAAATATTAATGAAAAGAAAATGTAGGTTCGGTTATTTATATTAGAAAAGAATTTGGAATTCTATAAAGGTGTATGCTCAAGTGTGATTGAAAATTTATTCTTCAATTATTATTGAAAATAAAAAAAATGGTTCAAAAAGAATATAGGTAATATGTTGTGTTTATTGTTCGAAAAAAAGGAATTTGGGCTTCAAAAAATAAAATAAAAATATTTATCTAAACCAATATTTGAGTTCTCATTTGGTGTAGTACCTGATCTAGATCAACATCATCTTGAAAACAAAAAAGTAGCCAATCATAATGCCTATCGCCTTCAGACGAGGGATGATATCATAGTATGTATGTATAATGTATGTGGTTATTAAATATCCATTATCCATAAATAGTAATAAAAAGAAGTGTACATGAAATGAAACACATAAAATAGATTGACGAGGAAGAGTGAGTTTGTGGTCCTAAGTCCTACTTTTTTTTTTTTTTTTTTTTTTTTTTTTTTTTTTTAAATTTATTTATATTTATTTATTTATTTATTTTTTGTGCACCTTATAAACTTTGTAAATATCATAATTTACTACAACGGATTGTAGAACATGTTTATAGTATTGGTATTGGAATTCAAAAACAAAACTTCTTTAATGTTAATCTTGGTATGGTTTTGTAAAAACCGTGGATACGATCCAAAAAGTTTATGATTTTCCAAAATTAATAATTTTCCGTGGTTTTGATCCTAAAACACTTCCAATTTTTTTTTGACCTTTTAATTTCTCTTTTTATTACATTTGCTCGGAAACCACCACACCCCTGTTTGTTCAACACCACCCCTAAAAAACTCTGGTGACAGTGGCTTTCAATCTAGATGCAAACTTCAGCATCGTGACTATCTCCCGTCGTCGCCTCTGCTTGTTCATCATCGCCTCACCCTTACCTTCACCGACAACCATCATATCACCAGACAGAAAACCATAACTTTTGTATGCACATAACTAGATCTAGACTTGTATCTCAATTCGGATGAACTCAGGTGGGCGGATGAACTCCGGTGTCTCCTTTCCTTTTGCATTTTGGGGGTGGGCGTCGTAGTCTTCATTTCCCTATGTTTTTTTTTTTTTTTTTGATGAGGGAGAGGCATGTGCAAAAAACGGGTTTTTGCGGCAGGCGTGTGTGTCTATATATATATATATATATATATATATATATATATATATATATATATATATATATGAAGTAGGTGGGCGACAGATGATGGTGGTTGGCGGCAAATGGTGGTGGACAATGGTACTAGTAAGTGGTGATGGTGACAGACAGTGGTGGAAGTGGTGATGGTGGCAGCTTGTATGCAGGGCTGGACGCAAAAATACATACTAGGTGTTGCCGATGTTGAAGTAGGTGTTGTCGGTGCAAAAAAATAGGTAAAAAAGAATCGAATTTTTTTTTCATTGCGTACAGAAAAAATAGGTGTTACCGTTGCCACACCGAGACACGAAGCAAAACCGCCACTGCTGGTAGGGCGGTATGTTCTTGAGGGGTTAGGTGTAAATTTATAATTTTCTTAAATAACAAAGTATTAAAAATATAAAAAATAGAAAAAAGAAATTAAAAAGACAAAACAACGTTCTCAAAAATTTCCGAGAACCAAAACCACAAGAATTCTTAATTTTGGTACCAAAACTATGAAAAATTCTTAATTTTGAATATTCCATATAAGTCGAATTTTTTTTGAATAGTATTAATAGTTTTTACGAAACTATAAGATCCAATTATACAGTTTTGTCTAAATCTATGATTGTTCCGTGTCTAAATTAGACAACTCGAATATAAATGTGACAATAAGCAGAAACTGAAAAATACCTAAAACAATCGTAAAAAACAAACAGATTAAAGCTTGAACAGAGAAAAATAACAATAAAAGAACGTCGATACACGTATGAATATATGATGTAGTTATATTTTGCTGATATAGTAAATTTGTTTAAATAGTAAAAACAATTACTAAAATTTGTATCCAGACATAAACATTTACAACTTTTATTATAAGAAAGAGTAAATTTGTATTTTATTTTTAATATTCAAATAATATTGTTATTATCAAAAAGACTTCTTGCTAAACGGTATCAGATATTGTCAATTCTCTTTGACGTTGGGGTTCAATTTTCATTGAAAACATATATGGATTTAAGTGTAATACTGAGTAAGTTAGATTTGCCGTTTAAAATAAGTAATAATAATAATAACTAGATGAGGATCCCCGCAACGCGGGGATGGATGTGAAAGGAACTGATCAATAATGTAATTTACTAAATTAACTTAGAAACATGAACATGTTTAGAGTGTAAGGGTGATGTGAGATTTATTGTTTGGTTGATTAACTAGTAATGGGATCCAAAAACTGAAGAAAAAAAAATTGTTTCCACCGAAATGCTCCTGGTCAGTTTGATAGCGATTTGAATACTTTAAAGAAAAAACCAACTAACATTACATGCCAACAGGTCATCCTTAAATAGAACAAAAAGAATGCCACAACATCACCATCATAAACCAAAGTTTCCCCAAAAGTCTCTCAACAGCAACATGAACATTACCTGAAGTAGCACATAAAACCCTAATATTCTCCTGCACATCAAAGAACCCCTCTCTCAACAACAACATGAACATTACCTGAAGTAGCACATAAAACCCTAATATTCTCCTGCACATCAAAGAACCCCATCTCCTGAAGTTGAGACGGTTGAGTTGCATAAAGTTGCTCTGGTGCCACTGCAAATTAACAACAATAATCATCGTCATCATCATAAATAAAAGTTCAGGGGTAAAAACGTAAATTTACAAAAGAACTTGACTTACCATCAGGGACATTTGGGACTCCTATGCCACTAGCTCCAAGTCCACGAAACATACTCATCAACATGTCGAATCCCATATTGTTTTGTGATCCTGTAGATTAAAAACTTGAAATAATACTAAAATGGCATATGATTTATAAAAATTATTAACAATGGAAGTGTCTAGTTACTACCTGGAGAAGCACCAGTCTTTGTAGGATTCCTTAAACATAAAACTTAATGGTTTGAGCATGTAAAACTGACGAATATTGTGAAATTTGTGTTTTGAAATGTAAGGTTAAAATGGTCATTTGGTCTCTCATCCAGGCCATCTATTCAGTCTAGAAAAGAAACAAGCCTCATGTATAGTTGTATATAATACTTTATTCAGACAGATAATATAATCCATTCAACTACTTTACCAATGATAGATATATTCAAGTGATTCTTTTTTACTTAATACATAAATGTCAACTTAATTGGATCATTTTGGCACATAAATCAAATCAGTTACAGTAAAAAAAGCATTTCCACTTACAAAGTTGATTGTTGTTGATTAAGCTGGGGTAGAAGCTGCTATAAAGACATCATTTGCTGTATAAAATAAATCAACTTATCATCAAACTCAAATTTACAACAGTCAAAGTTACAAACCAAAATTACACCACAATTTGTATACCTGCATCATTCAAGGTGAAGTTAACTGACGAAACACTTCTGGATTCTGCACCATCTCCCTCAACTAAGGGTTAGAATCGAACATAGTGCGAAGCTGAGGGTTTTGACTCACAATTTACAAATTTACATCACCAATACCATTAAAAAAAATTATAAATGCCCCAATACCTCAGCTATAGTGTATATCATGTTTAACATACCTGCTCCATATATTGGGGATTTGAAAGCAAGATTTGGTTGTTGTCGGGGCTGCAAAGAAGACTGGCGGTCACATAGCCGGCAACCGGTGACAAAGGTGAAACTTTCATCACTCAACCAAGGGGTGTCTTTGGCAATTTTGGGGGAAATATTTTAGCCTAAATTTTTTATTCTTGTAGCTAGTATCACTATCACCCTAAAAATATAATAAGAAAGCATTGTAAGGGTATTAAGGGTAATAAGGGTAGTTTAGTAATTTTTTAATTCATTTAGCATAATAAGAATTTTCCTTCCGGTTCATCAACATTATTTGCTCTGCAATACAAATATGGATACACTCAAAACATAACCCCAAAGCAACCACCCAAATTGCAATAAAAGTTGATCCAGATAAAAAAGATAATGTTAATAGTGATGAAGCTTAAGAAGTTTCAAAATGTTTCTATTTACATTTATTAATTGATTTTAGGAATTTACTTAATTGTAAATAACTTCTTTATGCATTTAATATGTAAAATGTATGTAATCCATAACTCGTTCGATCTGATTTTGAGATCTGGAAGGCGATCAAACAGATGAAATCTGCCTCTTTTTAAAGAAACTTGAAGATTCATCTGCTGAAACATATGATATGTTCAGAGAATTAAGTTTTTTCATCAAGAATTTCAGCATCTTTTGCAAGTGCTTCTCGAGTTCAATCACTTGCAATATTCAATATTTAGGATTCATAAAACTCAAATAAAATCAAAAGTAAATAATGCATGTAAAGAAATCTAAACTCAAACCCATATTAAGAACCTGCAGGTAAATCAATTACCCTTGGAAATTGAAAAGTAAGAACTTGCATAAACACAACATCAGTCTAATGATCTAATCTGCATTTATCATTGTGATTGTGAGCAGGAGAAAGATTTAATCAAAGAAAAGGAAAATATTGTACAACAGGTAAATCAATTACCCTTGGAAATTGAAACAGGTTTGTGTTTGTGTTTGGAAATATGGTTAATGTCTTCTTGCTTTGCTGCATACAGTCTGTTTTTGGAGTGTGGTAGCGATTTCTATTGTTGTAAATATGGTTATATCAATTGGAATTGAAAGTTAAAGCATAATGAAATTGCAAAAATTAAAGTGGATCTTTGGGTTGCAGATTGCATCAGCGGAGAATGTGTTTGGGCTTGGGGGTGGAGGTCTGAACAATGAACTTTCAACTACCTTGATTGGGTGAGTAAAGAAGAAGGAAGTAATCCGAAGACGGGCTTACCTTCATCAACGACCGTTGCGAAGGAGGCTGAGCAGCGACGTGGTGGCCACCAAGTTTCTATCGATTGGGGCAGAAAGAAAATCACAACAAATAACCATGACTCCAACTTATCCCCTCCCTAAATTTACCCTTGCCACTGTAACTTCCGTCTGTCGGCGATACCCACCGCAACAACTACCGTCCGACCATAACATCACCTTCCACCCTCACTTCTTGTAGCACCAGGTTCCTGGTACGTATTCCTTGTAATTAATAATTATTAAATTAATGCATTTTGCCTTGGACTGGGCGAGTTGAAGGACCAACTCGCCGAGTAGGAGCGGGATGAGACGCGAGGTCTGAGCCTCGGACTCGGCGAGTCGGTTCCCGGACTCGGCGAGTAGACCCTGTTTGGGCAAAAACCCTAACCCGGGTGTTTGCACCCTATTTAAGCACTCAGCCTCCCTTGTCCCTAACACTTCCAGAAGAGCTGTAGAGCGAAACCCTAGCCCCTTTTTGTCCTTGTGAGTGATTTTGGCCTTGTGAAGGAAGTTTGAAGCTCAAGAGAAGAAGAAGGAGGTGGAAGAGTGCAAGGAGGAGAAGTAGATCTGACATCTACCCTGCAAGAGGCTTCCATTCAGGTAGAAAAGTCCCTACCTTGATCACTAGTTCATTAGATTCCCTTTTGTCCCTAATTGATGGATTTCAAGCCCTAAAACACCAAACTCCATGTATTTGTGCTCTATGATCCGAAAGGACTTTAGATCTAAACCTTATGGACGTATTAGAAGATAAATTTTATGTGGTTGAAGTGATTGAGGTCCCCATTGAGTGTATGACCTCATAAAGAGATTGGATTTTCCTTTTGGAGCTTGTAGGGCCATGCATACACGTAAAGTTTGCAACTTTATGTGATAAGCATGCCCTAGGAACATAGATCTATGGTTTGGATGTGTTTCATGTATTTGTGATTTCAGATAGGGATGTGCGTTTTACTTCTAGGTTTTGGAAGAAAATTTCATGACGAGTTGGGCACTCGTCTGCATTTTAGCACCACCTTTCACCCGCATATAGATGGTCAGAGTGAGCGGACCATCCAAACTCTTGAGGATATGTTGCGGGCATGCATGCTAGACTTCGGTGGTAGCTGGGATACCTATCTTCCTCTAGCTGATTTCTCGTATAACAACAGCTACCACACGAGTATAGATTGACCTCCCTTCGAAATGTTGTACGGGAGGAGGTGTCGGACCCTGATATGTTTGGGTGAGGTTGGCCAGATGGTCATGGGGAGCACCGAAGTGGTGCTCAAGACGACCGAGAAGATTCAACAAGTTCGGAGCAGGCTTCAGAATGCACAGAGTCGGCAGAAAAGTTATATCGACAAGCGCCGTTCAGACATGGAATTCCAAGTCGGGGATATGGCTCTTCTGAAGGTGTTGCCATGGAAAGGTGTCATCCGATTCAGAAAACGAGGCAAGTTGGGCCCAAGGTACATCGGGCCATTCAGGGTTGTAGCTCGGGTGGGCAAGGTGGCATATAGGTTGGATCTGCCAGCCGAACTCAACCAGATCCACAACACTTTCCACGTCTCTCAGTTCCGGAAGTGTTTGGTGGGCGACTCGGTGGTTGTGCCTTTGGAGGATATTCAGGTCAATGACAACATGAATTACATTGAGCGGCCTGTGGAAATCCTCAATAGGAAGTCGAAGGATTTGAGGAACAAGAGGGTGGAACTCGTAAAGGTGCAATGGCAGCACCGGAAGGGATCAGAGTGGACTTGGGAGCCGGTGGAAGAGATGATGGAGCACTACCCCGAGCTGTTTCAGGATCGAGCAGCAGACTTCGAGGACGAAGTCTAAAATAAGTAGGTGAGATTTGTAGCACTTGGTTCCTGGTACGTATTCCTTGTAATTAATAATTCTTAAATTAATGCATTTTGCCTTGGACTCGCCGAGTTGAAGGACCAACTTGCCGAGTAGGAGCGGGATGAGACGCGGGGTCTGAGCCTCTAACTCGGCGAGTAGGCCCTACTTGGGCGAAAACCCTAACCCGAGTGTTTGCACCCTATTTAAGCACTCTAACTCAGCCTCCCTTGTCCCTAACACTTCTAGAAGAGTTGTAGAGCGAAACCCTAGCCCCTTTTTGTCCTTGTGAGTGATTTTGGCCTCGTGAAGGAAGTTTGAAGCTCAAGAGAAGAAGAAGGAGGTTGAAGAGTGCAAGGAGGAGAAGTAGATCCGACATCTACCTTGCAAGAGGCTTCCATTCAGGTATAAAAGTCCCTACCTTGATCACTAGCTCATTAGATTCCCTTTTTGTCCCTAATTGATGGATTTCAAGCCCTAAAACACCAAACTCCATGTATTTGTGCTCTATGATCCGAAAGGACTTCAGATCTAGACCTTATGGACGTATTAGAAGTATAAAGTTTCTGTGGTTGAAGTGATTGAGGTCCCCAATGAGTGTATGACCTCATAAAGATCTTGGATTTGCCTTTTAGAGCTTGTAGGGCCATGCATGCACGTAAAGTTTGCAACTTTACGTGATAAGCATGCCCTAGGAACATAGATCTATGGTTTGGAAGAGTTGCATGTCTCAGATTTGGTCTATATGGGAAATGGGTCAAAAGGACTCGACGAGTTTTATGAAGATGGCCTTAGACTCGGCGAGTTGGATGAACAACTTGGCGAGTCCCATGAACATTGCCTGGTACTCGACGAGTTGTTCTTCAAACTCGGCGAGTCATATGAGTTGTTACTGAGTATGAGGGGTTTAGCTTTTTAAGGTACAACCCTTCGTATCTACACGCGAAATTAGCAATTTAACATGTAGCAATAGTCCCAGAAACCCAAATCCTCATAAAGGATGCTCTGGTGAGGATTTGGAAGCCAGTAGGAGATCTGCTCGTATGGACTCGGCGAGTCAAATCGCGAGCCGGTTCTATCGTCCCAAGTAGTGAGTTAAGGGTGACTCAGTGAGTGGGAAGAGGGACTTGTAGAGTAGGACTGGGTTAGTGGGAGAAGGACTCGACGAGTTGGTGCCATGACTCGGCGAGTCCAGTCAACTGGAAGTTGACTTTGACCAAGGAGTTGACCTTGGACCAGGGGGGCCAGTCATCTGACCTAAGGGTGTGTATGAGTGGCTAATCTATGTTTATGAATTATAGCTGGAGGATTACCGATTCAGCAGTCAGGCTCTTAGCAAGCAGACTTTCATCAACTACTTTTCAAGGTGAGTTACCTTCCAGTGGCGGTAGGTCTAAGGCCACAATGCCGGCCCACCAGTAGGAGACGTATGATAGATGATTGTCTTTGTGATATCATCTAGGTTTGCTACTACCTGATATGTTATATGCTAGCATTATATGTTGTATGTGATAGTAGTAGAGTTCGGTTGTTAGGACCGAATGGTAGTCAGACACCCCAGGTACGTCTGACAGTACATGATGATATGTTTGCATGCTGGCTTGTTATGTTATATGCGATAGAGGTAGTAGGAGGGGACCAGTCCCCGAGTTCGGTTGTTAGGACCGAAGGGTAGTCAACACCCTAGAATGGCTTGACACGAGAAGGGCAGCACCCCAGAATGACCGTATGGGTAGGTCGGCACCCCAGAATGGTCGTACCGGGTAGGTCGGGCACCCTAAAAATTCCTGGCAGTATGTATGTGATATGATTGTATGGTATGTGGTATGATGGGGGACTCACTAAGCTTCATGCTTACAGTTTTCAGTTTTGGTTTCAGGTACCTCTTCAGCGAAGGGGAAGGAGCTGGCGCGTTAGCGGCACATCATACACACACACATTGGATTTCCGCATTATGAGATGTTCTGGGATTGTACTCTGGCATTATTATTATTTTCATGTTTTGGTTTTTAGACACGAGATATGTTTTATGAAATGATATGATCGGATGATGTTTTACTACAAATATTTTACAAACCACTTATTTTAAATGTAATTTTTGGGCGTGAAAATTGGGTTGTTACACTTCTATTCTCCCATTTCCTCTTTCTTCCCTGTACCCCTCAAACACGACAACACCTCCGTGTGGCTCTACCTTCAAAGCATCCCTCTTATTTACCTGTTTCCCTTCTCTTTCCCGTATGTGTCGCACACCACACAGCAGGAACATCATCAGACCCTAACCATCACGCCATCGTCGTTCGACAACCTCCGTCTTGCAATTCATGTATGTTTTTCGAAGTTTGACTTTGTCTATCTTGTTATTCTGGTTTGTTGGTGAGGTTGCAGATGAAATGGAAACACGTAGGTAGGTAGGAGGTTTAGGCGGTCGAGGGATCTAGAATAAAAAAGAAATTGGAAGACATGGATCGGAGAATATCGACAATGACTTGGAGCAAGGCCAAGGCGGTGGAATCTTAGCTGAATGACTGAGAAAACACAGGAGTGTCACATGTAGTCGGAAAAATGAGGTAGATCGGTAGAAGTGTTGAGAGTTACCCTTTCTGTTGGCGGTGGGAAAGAGGTGGAACAGGGAGAGACAAACATGTGGAGGAAAAACACAGGAAAATAACCTGTGTCCAAGGCATGCACACGTATCCAACGTTTGACTAGTAAAAAAGAAAAACACGTGTACATACAAAATGGCAAAAAGGCAAAACATGACCCCTAACTTTAGACATTTTTAATGTATATATATTAATTACTTGAGGGACCATTTATGTCAATCCCTTAGCCACTTTAATGTAGCTAAGGGTAGACAATTTTAATATATATATATATATATATATATATATATATATATATATATATAAAATAATAATAATAATAATAATAATAATAATAATAATAATAATAATAATAATAATAATAACAACTAGAAAGGTTACCCCCGCTACGTGGGGGCCAGAAGTTTTTAATATTGTTTCCGAATCGATAAATATGAAAGACATAGAAAGTGCAAGGGTGAAAAGCCTGGACTTTGCCCCGGACCGTTTTTTTTCATGTTTTTATGAAAAAATGTAAAAGTTTTGACTGCAAGGATCAGAAGTTTTTAAACGGTTAAAAAATTAAAGGGGTAGAAATTAGCAAATTTTTAGAAAAGGGATCAAAGTTGTCAAATCGTTAAAGTTTTGTGGCATACTTTAAATATTAAAAGGTTCCTAAAAAGTGTAAAAATATTGATTGCAAAGACTAAAAATGTCAAAATAGGTAAAGAATGAGGAGCAAAGTGCAGGGACCATTTCTACTAA